ATTTTGCATTTGCTATGACTTTCAGTAACATTAGTATAGTACAGACATCTCTGTTCAGCAGCAGTTCGATGTGGTTTTAGGAGAGGGTCAATTACGTGGCGCTTTCCAAACCCCCTAAAACACTTGTTCCCGAAGCATGTGGTCGTTAAGGGGTTGAACAGGTCGTTAAGGGCGATCGCGGATGGAAACGTGAAAATGAGAGCCAACTGATCTTTCTTCAAGGGCTAGTCTGCGTCATTGAGAAGCATTTAATCTAGACAATTGAAAAGTATTTATTGCTGTGATGTAACCCAATCTGATGAGAATTTGAAGAGAAGACGTTTACCGAAAATGCCACGAAGTGATAGTGAGAGCTACGCAGCAGAGGGAATGTTTGCTTGTAATCAGGCCGACGGTAGGAAACTGCATTTAGACAAAATAATTTTCCAAATACCAGTAAACCAAGCAGTCGCAAAAATCAAGCTGCTGCAGAATGAAGCTCGTCTAGATTTTTTATGTGTCAATCATGTATAATTCAGCGAGCTGTGTTCAAGGGCGTGCGCAACTTCATCAAACTCGGCCTTTTATCGGGTAACAACATACACGGAAAAAAATGTGAATCCCTGTTTTCCGCGTGTTTCCAGAACTTCTTACGGGAGGTACATACTGCACACACATGCATTGTATTCCACGGATGATTATCGGGACAGTCATTACTCTGTTTTCCATTTTGGCCCCGCAATGTCTAAAAGTATATTTAAACGACTGGTGTTCGCTATGCCAGTCAGTCACTTGGCGGTATCGCGCATGGCGGTTTTGAGAGGTAATTCTGGCCATCTCTTGTGGTCAATGATCGCTATGCGTAATGACATTAAACAGAAACTCTTGATTTCTGGAAGACTTCTTTCAACTGCACATCTCCCTCTCTGTTTTCTTTTTTGTTGGCTCAACTCAGATCTAAGGAATGTTTAATACACAGGCATTTTTTTACGATTGCTTTTCAGAAGATCCTGTTGGTCAGTATTCTGCTTCACCAATTTTGGTTTCTGCACTTCCACTTGTGTCCCAGCAGACGAATGTGCTTGCTGCCCTCATGGTGAGTCGGTCTGAGAGTTCGCAATGATTTTTAAAGAACATTTTTCGATTTTAATTTTATTCTGTCTTTTGATATAGCTTATTCTTTAGTATGTACACAATTACTTTTATTTTTTTTAGAATAACTTGCTCCTTCATCATGCTGGTATCGATCTGGAGACCTTGTATGCCTATGGAGAGGTGGAATTGGTTACGTTTCTGAGTGCAGTGTTGGTTTATCTAATTTCCAAATAAGTGCACGTGTTGTAGTACTGGATAGCGAGAGTCCAATGGGAATGGTGCGACAGATTCTATTGTGCAGGGTATAACGTTGTCGCTGTGCTTTGTGCGCACGAACGAGATCCTGCCCCAGCGATTTTCAGTGTATCCTAGAATGTCACTAGGCAAAAGACCTCCTAAAAGCACCGTGCGGCGGCACAGCTTGTCCATATCGTGGATGCGCTTTTAGAAGCGCAGGTCTAGATTACGAGTTTCTTCGGCTTGTCTCCTGGTGTCAGAACATGGTAGGCAAAGATGCCTATTTACCGTAAGCCATTTACTTCTACATTGAACCGATATCAATCCAAGCTCATCACGCCTAAGAAACGAGTAGAGACGGTTCCTAAAGGCGGACTTTTTGCACAGCCTCGATACGCAGTAGGGTTTTGTCCGATGACGTCAGGCTCTCCTATACAAAGGTTCTGACAACAGCCTGATGTATTACGAGCTCACTGTGGAGGTTCAATTCCCCGTCATCTCCATACACTACTCAATTCACTTCTTTCTGTTTCACCGTCACGTTGTGACTTCAGTTTTTTATAGATACCTCCGACCCATATTCCTAGAAGGCACTGTCTGTTCCCACTTTCAGCACCCTTTCGCATCTTTTGGCGTCAGCTGATCAACGATTATCTTTCATGTCGCACGCACACCGCCGCTACTCTGCATTGTTTTTCAAACTGTTCAATGTGGAGTGAGTCTCTAATTTTCATTCAAATTTATATTTCCATGCTTACATGCCAGTTTTTCTCTGAAATTGTTACCATGATTTCATTTCGAAGCTTTCATACTCTACAGATTAAAGTGGTCAAAAACCTATTATTATAAAAAATCCCATTCATTGCGCAGTCAACTAATATTTTTCTTCTTAAGACTTCTGCGAGTGGATGGATTTTCCCGGCATTGTTTTGCTCCTCCTATTAGTATGCCCAAGCCGATGCCTCACGAAAAAAAGCTCAAGGAAGTATGTATTCGTCCGTTTTAATAATTTTTGCTTTTACTTTTTATTTCACTGCATTTTAGTCGCTAGAACATTCGATTCGATAACCTTACTTGCAGTTTAACCTTATCAATGGCCTATTTTACGCCGTTGGCATTCGACCAAACCGATATGTGACATTGGATTCCGTCGAAGTTGGCACTCCTAACCCTGAGGGGACAGAGCTAGACTCTCGCTGTCTGTTGACCTATGCTTACTGGATGAACCTGATTGGTAAACAACAGGCATCTAAAAGGACAGCTAAAGTCCTGGAGTGGGTTGCTTTTGTTCATTAATTGATCTCCTTTGTTACAGCTCTGATCAAAAGCTCGCCACTTGACCGTACTTAAAACTCACTGATTTCAGAGAATTGTGCCCTGAATCATGCTCGTCAGCGTTTCTCGTTGTAGACAAAGATTGCCGAATAGGAGAACTCTCAACTGTTGCCCTCGAGAAGGCGTTCCTAGCTGTTAGAGAGGAACTCCAACATCTCAAGAAGTTTGAGAATTATAAAGAGAACATAACATCTAAAAGGAGTTCTTAGTTTCTGTTGTTACTAAGTTGCCTGTAACACTCTTCAAGTGAAAACTGGAATGTTCGATGTTTTCTGCAGGTGTCTTATCTTTCCGAATGGCTCTTTTGCGCTGTTACGCCTAACATTTTTACTCGTTCGATCTCTTATACATTTTGTTATCCTTACTACTTTGTTTATTGTATATAAGTGTTCTAAACGCATGACAGTTTCGCCGGTGATATCAATAGTCGGAACTGCAATTTGCAAAGGGAGGTCTATTTTGTGGGTTGGATATCGTCAAGTCTAAATGGGTTGATCTAGTTGATCCAGTACTCGTGGATGTGGCAGATAAGCCTCCGACATAACC